ATTATTTTCTTCCTTGGTTGCTGCCTTTTCAACCACCAAACCCACAGGAGCAATGTGGGTATGTGGCTTTATACAACATTTGCTGGCTCTTTGCAACTCATCAGTGGCTTTTTTTAATAACTAGACGACAGGGTGGCCCGAAAGCAAGTAGGCGGAAGAGAACAAATAGAAGGGAAGAAAAGCGAAGTAACAGAAGATGAATGAGCACTAAAGAAATGAAGAGATGATATATGATGATTCAAAACATTAAGATGAAACAAACTGAGATGATGATGAGATGACACAATATATAATATATATATCTATATATATATATACATTATGATTATGATACTATTATCACGTTATTACCAAATCTATTAATGTATATTCTGTTGCACTGTACTTCGGAGCCCAAACGGTAGTCCCGGTCGATTCTTTTTTATCCAGCGCCGGTCGAGCTCAAACGCTAGTCCCGGTAGTAAGAGCCGCCGAAGTGTGCGAAATCGCACGTCCCAACCTGGCATCAGGACAACCAATGCTCATACAAACGCAACTGATCTATGTATAAAGTCGATGGTACCTACGTAAGATACGTTTGTTTCATGAGCTCCATTGATCGCACGGTTGAATTGGCTGTGCTGGCGAGATTCGCACAACTCGCGGTCTCGCGCCAACGCCACTGATCTATGTATAAAGATACGTTTGGTTCATGAACCCTACCGACCACACGGATCGGATTCTGCCGACCGTCGATCGAGAATAAGCGAGTCCACTTGCCTTCGAGCCATACGACACAAAGGTCAATGATGCTGATCATGTTAAAAGCTGTCACCGTCATGATGATGCCAACAAAGGAAAAAATTCAAGCGGCTGTAACAACAAATCTGATGCTGATCATGCTAAAGCCGTCACCGTCATGCCGATGCAAACGACGGAAAAAATCCAATCAGCTACAATAACACATCGAGTCAGCTGGGTCTATTTCAAGCCAAGTATACAAATACAACACAACCTGAAACACATGTAACTCTCATGCCGTGAAAGAAAATATGACATGACATCAAATATGAAAATATGATGTGCCATGAGATGATGATCTCACGATACGCCCGTGATATGCTATTGTGATCATGAGCTAACGATGAGGTCGATGACGATTGCAATGACGTAGCTGCTGGTAATGATGATGATGATGATGATGATGATGGTGCTGACGACGATGATGATGATAATGATGATGATGATGTGGATGATAAGGATGATGATGATGATGATGATGCTGATGATGATGATGAAGGTGATGATGATGATGATGATAATGATGATGATGGTGCATGTCGCCAGGCACGGTTTACACCACACGTTGTTTACGCCAGACGAAGTAACCATGGAAAAGTTTACACCAGACAAAGCCGACAAAGGTTTACACCAGAGAAGAGTTTACACCAGACATCGATTACACCAGACACCGTCTATACACCAGACACGGTTTACACCAGACGTCGTTTACACCAGACAAGGCCAACAAAGGTTTAC